CCTTGGCTTTCTCTTCTGATTCGGTACTGCACTGCCCGACTGTTTATGACCCTGGATTGTCTGACCCTGCTCTAGTCCTGTTCCTGGCTACCAACACCTTGCTCTGCTGCACATCAGGCAATCCACAGTACCTGCCTGCTCTATTGCTACTGTGCCCTAAATCAGTGGATACTCTGTCTACCAAGGCCATCATCTGCAAGAGCCACAAGCTACAACTCCTGGCGCTCTTGTCCCCCTGGTCCCTAGACTCCACCTGTTCCAACCTCAGTGGGGTCAGGGCTAGGGACACAAGTGAGGCCGACCTCGTCAACTCAGTCTCCCATCTGGTACGTGACAAATCAGCCACATGAGGATTAGACCATTTGATAAAAGTCTCTTCAAAGGGGTAGTGTACAGCAAATTCTTTTTGTAAAGGGCTTAGCTGGATGCATCCAATCCTTGTAACTGAACTCATCAAAGAAGGGATCATAGGAAAGAAACTTGAAGGATCAACTACATTTGTGGGTCCCATAAAGGACAGCTGAATCTGTGGACACAGGAGAGTCTTCAATCTTTAGTGTCTCTCAAACAGCCTTGATGAGAGCCGACACTAGCTCTTTCGCATGCGCCAGCTTAGCTGCTGGAACCTCCTCTGTTATTATATGGGGAAGAGGGAGCCTGTGCCTCCCAGGTGATTTATCAACCTGTGGGAGAAGGCAGCTCAAAGCGTTAGCCGTCACATGCAGACGCAAGTGGTGAAGGGAGCTTTTTTGGGGGCCTTCTATAAAAGTGCTCTGTGTGGGGAAACAAAGCCAACCATAGGGGCGGTAATGCTGCCAAGGGAGTTCAGATGACCCTGAACTGCGTATGAGACTAAAGCCACAGCTTCAAGGACAGAGAGGGCCGACAAGTAACACAGATGGACCTGTAGAGAAAAAAGTTCCAGCCACCCCTCAAGTAGCAGAGGAGAGGAGGGAGTCCCTTTCATCACAATGCAAAGCTACCCAGTGAGTGCAGATAGGAAAAGTTCACCCTACCAAGAATTAAAAATGACGCATGGACCGACACCTAGCGACTACCCTATCGTGTGGTAAAAAAATCTTATTATCCATGTGTGAAGAAGCTGACTCACCTAAAAAATAATACATCAAGAAAATGGTGTGATCTACGTAACTCGCAACTAATCTGCAAACAACTAAGGCCAAAGAGAGCAAGATAGGTTACAAGGCGGACCAGGTGGCTTATTATCACGGAGACAGTGGTGTCAGCCAGCATACTTTGCACTAAGGTCTGACAAACCCCCACTATTTACAGCCACTGAGGGCTGCACACCGCCATGCTTCCCTGTGACCCCTCTAAGGGCAAGACACTCTAGACACTGCCATCACGTGGATGGATTGATGGCCGGTATGGATACTCCAAAGTGGGATCAGCGAGCCTAGATGTATGACATGTATATGCCTATTATCACATCTACTGGCCACCTGAACTTTTCCCACTGTGAGTTCTCTATCATAGGGAAGAGCAGCTGTACCTCAGTGACGGCTCTACTATCATTTTGATATCTATCTGTAAGGGACCGCCTGGCGGTACCACTAGCACTCCACTGAGTAGGCGTCCCCAGCGCACGGAGTCTAAGTCCCAGGGTGCTTGTTCACCAGGGCCCCTGATGGTGGGGATGGACTTGGAGCCCCCTGAGACCAGGTCGTGGCTACCGGGTGCGTCCGTCAGTGGTAGTGGTATGCGCCAAGGGCTCCCACGGGGAAGAGTCTGATATGAGGAGGTCAGCAGACCCCACTGCACGGGATGGATGGATGGATGGATGAGCAAGGTCAGACGGGCCGGGTCGGTAACAGAGAGGACGGCAAGGTACAAGGCAGCGGGCATAGAATAGTCGGGTCACACGCCAGGTCAGCAACAGCAGGTCAAATCCAATAGGGGGCATTCAGGAGAGAGGTCAGGCAAAGCAAGGGTCTGGGCAGGAGAAATACAGCAAGGTCAGGTACAATCCGGGTCAGCAACTTACAATACACAGGTTCACGGATACAGGATACAGGTAAGACCAGAAGGCACTGAATGACAGCTCAGGGTCGTTTAAATATCTCGCCCTGCGCTGCCATTGGTGCCCAGCGGGCGGCCGCGGCTTCTACTGCGCATGCGCGAACTCGAACGCCGCGGCCGGCCCGGACCCAGTGCTCGAGTCCCTGCACAGGGCGGCATACTGCGCCTGCGCCGGGACCATCGCGGCGGGGATCGAGGGGATCCCTGACACTATCAGAATGGACTGTGCAAAAGAACTTCTACACAAACCTTTATTTAACTTATTTACATGTCCACACTTGGATCTAGGACTACTGGCCCAGCACTCATACCTTTGGATAGCTGAGGTTGCAATTCACGATACAGATCCATTGCCTTACAGTGGTACCTATTCACTCTTTATGGACTTTATCCACCTTACCACTAGATTATTACATAGTGTGTGGATGAGTATGGCGATTGTGTGGGGTGCTGGCTATACAACCCTCTGCTTTGACTAGACGTCTTTTTTTAATTTTTTATATGGTGTAAAGGTAATCTATTGCTCTTATTTTTTTTGTATTGAATAAAGCCTGTTTTTTTCTTAATAAGCCACCTGGTCCACCTTGTAACCTCCTATCGGGCTCTCTTTAGCCCTAGATGTTTGCAGGGAAAGTTCACCCCCAGCAGAGAACACTCACCCTTCAGTTGCAAAACCCTGGAGACCACCATAGCGGTACTCTCAGCTCCCAATCTGGCTGTGGCCATGCAGCATGTAGGCCCTTTCGTTTCAGCATGCAGTGCTCCTGGGGGAAGATAGTGGAAGGCAAACCCTCAAGATACAGTGCTGCTGTAGTGAAAAGCCCACCCCAGGAGTAGTGCAGTAATCTATAGCACCATCTAGTAGCCACTACACTGGAAATACAGAAAATCGGGTAGAACATCCAAAATAAATGGCAGGAGCGCAGCTGAGATGAAGGCGGGAGATTGTACTGTGGAGAGGTGCACAAAGTGATGACCTGCCAAGGGATCAGGACCTTTCAGCTATTAACGGACATGCTCTATGTACTCAGTTTATAGATAAACCCCCAATACTTCCACTTCACCTCTGTGGGATAAGCTGGATGCAGATCAGGGGTCACAAGCTGCTATCTACCTTTTATAACCTGTTGCTCATTCCCACGGCTGGTAAGTTTGGCTGTTCTCCAAAAAATTGCTGGGCAGCTGTTTATGAGCCGGACAATGAGGAATGGGGAGAGATCCTGGCTACATGTGGATTAGTATCATCCAAATCAGCAGACTACTTATCCCAAATTTATATTATCCATCGAGCCTATTTAACCCCAGTCTGTTTGGCCAAATTTCAGCCCAATAATAGTTCTATGTGTCCAAAATGTTTGGTGATGACTGGCACTCTCTTTCATCTCTTATGGTCTCACCCTAGAATTCAGGAGTTTTGGGCTCAAGTCAGCTTCTTCATGGCAAGATGGGATCGTCTCTGTCTCTTGACCCTAAATGCAGTATGCCGGGGTTTTTTTCCCACCCTGGAATCTGAAAAATTTAAAAATATCTTTTTTCCTAAAATGTTATTTGCTACCTGGAAGCTTATTGCCAGGACCTGGATAAGGGCTCGCTCTCTACAACTGTCAGATTAGATTGCAGAGGTCAGTCGTACAATAACACAACTGATATAGATGCATAGAGGGTGCCCATCCAAGTATAACAAAATTTGGGATAAGTGGCTGCAGTTACCCGATACTTGCACCTGATGTGTTAACAAAATCGCTTTATCCTATGTTCATACTGCACCTCGTTGTAGAATATTTTTGGTCAATGATCTTATGTTCTTGTGGAAAAAGTCACCAAGTTTTTTTGTTTTTCTTTTCTTTTATTTAATGTTACGATATAAATGGAATATAGAGTATGCAGTTCCAAAAAGAAAGCACAGCAACCTGGGTTTGGACCGTTCTGTAGCAAATCCTAAAGGCAAAAAGGCAGGAGGCAACACATGAGAATCTCATAAGGATTCTAGGCAGAAAAGGCGGTAAAGAGTGCGACCTGTGGTGTTAGCACCAAATTCAAAAATTTTACACCATAGTGAATACATTTCAAATATCGCCCCAGTGATGAACAGTAATGGTTATAAAACATACAGGGTGACCCTGTCTTAGCCATCTACAATGTTTGACTATATATAAAGTCAAGGCTTCATCTATCACGGTGGGCATACTACCACCAAAGACATCTTAAAAGACTGGGTTCAATAGGCATGCACCATGGCCCTGGACCTGTATACCACCCTGCATGTGACTACACACAAGTGCCAAGATGAGTGCTCATGCAGAATCAAGTGCCCGAAGCAACATTACAGGTTGTCTGCACTGCGTCAGGTCTGGGCACAGTTCCCAAGCTTTATCAAGTTTTGTGCCAATCCAGATGCACTGCTCTATTTGTGATATTAAAAGGCAACGAGGTGTTAAGTGAATAAAAAAATAATATAATAAAATAAAAACATTAACAATGGTTAAGCTAAGGGTTATTTTTTCTTAAGGAGAAGGTCCAACACCTTGAGACACAAGCAAGAAACTGAGGACTCACAAAGTGGAGTTTTAGGAGAAGCACTCAAGGGGGTGTCTTTGAAAGCTTTGACCATGTCCAATCACCTGAAGGAACGAGTCTATAAGCCATGGTCTATCAATACTTTGCCTGTATCTTGTACTCTATGATTAAGAAACAAGTTTTATTTTAAAAGTGTGTTACAGTTGCTTTAAATTGACATTCAGTTGTAAGCCACCCCTCCGATCTAACGAATGAAAATCAGAGTAAATAAGAATGTTACTTTGTATTTCTGTATTTCGCTGCTGAACAGTCTTTACAAGCACTGTTTAAAAACAAGCAGTGGGAGATGCACAGAGAGTGATACAAATGCTCTATGTATTCCAATTAATATTTTTTGGGGCGTACATAGCACGCATAATGTCTACAGCTGGTTAATGCAGTGTTTACAAAATGATCAGAAAGTCAGCAATTAATAAAATTTTAATAAGAAACACTAACTTGACACTTTCTTCTTGCTCTCCAAACTCCTCATCGTTGAAACCAAAATGATCAATAAAAGCAGATGTCATTTGCTGCATCTGGTAGTCCACAAATGCCTGGAGAAAACATACCACCAGCCATTAAATGATGGGCAAAGTATTAGTCCTTGTAAAAAAAAAAAAAAAAAAGTAGCCAAATCACCTGCTGTAGTACAGTCTCTTGGGGAAAACTGAATTCCTTTAGGTCACTATCTTCATCATCACTGGAAGAGTGCATATTTCTCGTGTTTACCTGGAAAACACAATTGACATACACAAAGTAGATATTAAAAAATCATGAAGGGGGCTAGACTACTACAGAAACATACTTCATAGTGTTTGCTTGGCCACAGTGGTTGCCTTTAAGAAGTAGATGTGACGTCTTGTATATGGTTTTATTTCTTAAAGGAAAATATATTGGTCTGGACATGCCAAGACTATTTTGAATGAAAGGAGGAAGAAATTTTTATAAATCCCAATTTTAGTTTGTAGATATTGAAGTGGTTAGAAGGGTGTAAGGGGAATTCAATGTCTGTTGGAAACATATGAGGGGTACCAGGAAAGCTCTTAAAAGTGCCAGGTAACCAAGGTCAGAACTAAAACACAAACTTCATTGAGATGCAAAAGGAGAAAACAGAAACCAAAGTGTTTGCAGGACATGCACATCCTTTTCTTCCTGTGTCCACTAATCAAACCCTCCCCCCACCTTGTCCCAACCAACCCCAGCCCACTCTAATATTTAAAAGAAACCAGACTAGCGAATGCCACTCTATTTGATGCCAAGCTGACAGGAGTTTCAATGGTTTTCTACATAAAGGGTACTGTAAACTGACTGCTTGAGTCATCTCAATTTGTTCTTACTACTCTCGGCACACAATTTACTCCTACCTTTACTTTCCCAGAACAGTGCTGCTCCTTTCTCCTAAAATCCAGGTAAAATGTCAAACATGCACCAAATCACAAAACTGGCTGGATTACTAGAACAATGAAAGTCCTGGGCACATGTAGTGCCATATTTTTATATACATGGGCTGGACGGGAAGTGGTTAAAGGATTTACTGCACTAGGTCCATGCATTTCCCCTTTCTTCATTTTTTTCGTCTAAGTACCCATGTAAGCTGCTATACAGGTTATTAACGTTATTAAAAAAAAAAAAAAAAAAAAAAAAAAAAACTGCCTATGCAGGTAAGGGGCGTCTGTAAACACACTGTGCAGCTCTGACTAAAATTGAAAAATACCCTTGCTATAGGTGCAGGCCATTTATGTACATTATGCAGCCTGACTGGAATACTCCCAGCATGTTGCTAAGTAAGGCATAGTTGTTTTTGCGCACCTCTATTATCACAGGATGTGAGCTTTTTCTTTGATTCAAACCCCCTCCAATGCTCTCTCTCCCCTGCAGCAGTAGCACTGAGCTTAGCATTTGCGGTGAGAAGTAATGACTAGGCCTTACTTCGCAACATACTGGAAGTATTCACTTCAGGCTTTGTGAGATACGTAAATGGCCTACACCAGGGTTTCTACACCAGGGTTCTATGGAATCCTGGGCTTCCTCCAGAAGTTGCTAGGGGTTCCTTGAGCAATTTTACCTACTTTTTTTTTTTTTTTTTTTTTTAAAGTCCGCAAACGTGTAACTATAACGAAAAAACCCATAAGTGTTCACAAAAAAGTGCAAGTGCAAAACACCACACAAAAAGTGCACTTAGGGGTGTGCTTTGTCCTATCCCCGAAGGGGTTGGACCACTACCCTGATCCCCCGGGGCACGAAGCTCCTGACAGGGACAAGGTTCCCATTTGGTCCTCCTGGCCAAAAGGCCTGGTGGACCACCGTTCCTTATGCCCAGCCGAAGCCAGACATCCAGTACTAGGCCAGGGGGTTCTCCCGAAGAGAAAACCCCCTAGGGACAGGGGAGGAAGGAACCGTAGGGCCACACATCCTCCCCCTAGACTTCAGGGCAGGCCCGAGGACCCACACCCTCCATCCTGTGAAAAAACACACACATAAGTAAAAAGTGACAAACGTGGGGTGAGAAAAATAAATAAATAATTAAATAAATCTATAAAAATAATAAAAAAGTGTCGTGCCCAAATTGTGCACTGACCAGACCCTGAGGCCTGTAGCAAAAAAATTGCCCAGAACTTGACCAAAAGGCCCGGTCCTAGAGGCGCAGTACAAAAAGTGTTAAACTCGGTGACCATGTGCTCATTCGCATCGTGGGGGTCCCACACCCAAGTGCTACTTAGAGCACCCCTGAGGCGACTACTCAGGGGGCACCGTGTTTGCGGCCTTTCTGCCTCCTCAGCCCCTGGCCAGACCAAGGTAGATCCGTCCAAATCAGGAGGTACTGGGTCTTTCCAGCTTTCCCAGAGGAATTACTCCCAAGGCCCCAGAACGAATCATGGCGCTCCCTGGTTTCTGTCCCTCCGGTCCCTTTTACCTTTCTAAAAGAGGGTAATTCTTCCCAGTGACCACAGGTGTAAGGAACATTCTTCCCACTGACCATCACACTTATGTAACATGAGTTGTAGATATAGTAATTTTTAGTAGGGGTTCCCTGAGACCACAAAGTAATATCAAGGGTTCCTCAGTGCTGAAAAGGTTGAGAAAGTGTGGCCCAAACCTTTAGCAAGGGCAATATGCAACTTTAGTCAAAGCTACAGTCTGTTTTTACCTACATATGCCCCTCATCTGCATAGGCAGTTTTTTCGGTAAATGTGAACTAAAAACTTTTAACATTTTAGGATTTAATAACACTTAACCGATTGTTTAGCAAATAGGTACATTTTTTATTATTTGCCCGAAATCCAGCTATATAGATAAGGATCTCTTCTTCAGCCAGGCAACTGTCATTTTCACATCTTATTGATTTTATCTTAAAAAAAAAAAAAAATGTCCTCCTCGAAAAATGAAGATCCCAACCCTGTGCGTATTAACTTTAGAAGTGTTTAAGAGGCATTCTGAATACGAAGATCTTTTAATTACAATTTATAGAATAAAGGAGGGGCTAAATGATAAGGAGTACCACATAATAATGCAATATATTATATGTAACAGAACACCAAGTGGACTTTTAAGGTACCCAACAATTATTTGTTTAACCACTTGTCTACCGCCCTATAGCAGATATACTGCTACAGAGTGGCCGCTCTGCGGAAAATCACGTATATACAAACGATTTTGCCATTCCAAATAAGGGGCATGCGTGCCGCCCTACCCGCTCTGCTATTGGTTGCACAGCAGAGAGAGAAAGCAGCATGTCTCCCTAGTAAAACAGCATACAGTACACAGTGTAAGCACATTACAGTGTTAACCCTTTGATCGCCCCAGGTGTTAACCCCTTCCTGCCCAGTGTCATTAGTACAATGTCAGTGCTTTTTATTAGCACTGATCACTGTATTAGTGTCACTGGAGATGTCAGTGGCCATTAGTCAGTTCCCACCCAGTGTCAGAATGCCCACCGCAGTCCTGCAATAAGTAGCTGATTGCTGCCATTACTAGTATAAAAAAAAATAAAAATAAAAATTCCAGTATACAGTATCTCACAGAAGTGAGTACACCCCTCAGTTTTGTAAAGATTTTATTATATCTTTTCATGTGATAACACTGAAGAAATTACACTTTGCTACAATGTAAAGTAGTGAATGTACAGCTTGTATAACAGTGTCCCCTCAAAATAACATACAGCCATTAATCTCAAAACCACTGGCAACAAAAGTGAGTACACCCCTAAGTGAAAATGTCCAAATTGGGTCCAAAGTGTCAATATTTTGTGTGGCCGCCAATAATTTTCCAGCACTGCCTTAACCCTCTTGGGCATGCAGTTCACCAGAGCTGCACAGCTTGCCACTGGAATCCTCTTCCACTGCTCCATGACAACATCACGGAGCTGGTAGATGTTAGAGACCTTGCGCTCCTCCACCTTCCGTTTGAGGATGCCCCATAGAAGCTCAATAGGGTTTAGGTCGGGAGACATGCTTGGCCAGTCCATCACCTTTACCCTCAGCTTCTTTAGCAAGGCAGTGGTTGTCTTGGTGGTGTGTTTTGGGTCGTTATGTTGGCATACTGCCCTGCGGCCCAGTTTCCAAAGGGAGGGGATCATGCTCTGCTTCAGTATGTCACAGTACATGTTGGCATTCAAGGTTCCCTCAATGAACTTGTGAGGAAAAAAATGACAAATTTAATTTATGTACAACGTTGCATAACGACACAATTGTCAGTTAAAGTAAACGCAAAAAGGCCTGGTCAGGAATGGGGGTAAATCCTCTGGAGGGCAAGTGGTTAAAAACATATATTATTTACAAATCACTAAAAGCCAAATATCACATATATTTAAAAAGATCTAGCATATATGCATGTCTCCTCATGAAACCTCATCCACAGAGTATAGTCACATCTCCAGTCTTAATACTTACAAATCTAAAGTTGTATTCGTTATAATATATTGTCATATATATAGAAACTACCTTTCTTACAACATCAAACTGGGAGTGGAACTAGCCCTCAATTCAACTATAAATTTCTACTTAAAATGCTGCTGCCAAATGCATCAGAGGAGAGCGCTGAGACCATCCAAGGAGATCAACAGGGAAGAGGGTGTCAACAATATACATTGCTCAGCCTAAATGAGTAAGATTTTAATTAATATCTCAATGAACACGAGAACAATTTCCAAAATTTTGACAAAACTAAGTTTTATAGAACATTTGTTTAGCTCATTACATGAAAGTAAGGTTAATAATATAACTTTAGTTAAAAAAATCTTCAGTTTTACTCCAATTCGTTGATGCAAAAATGAATACACGCCACAGGAAAAAAAAAAAAAAAACAAAAACTACTAGATCTAGTATTTTGTATTACCTCCATGATTTGTTAGGACAGCACCAATTCTTCAAGGCATGGAATGAACAAGTTTGCAACATTGCACCATCTATCTTTTTCCATTCTTCAAGAACGACCTCTTTTAGAGCCTGGATGCTGGATGGAGAGTGATTCTCAACTTGTCTCTTCAGAATTCCTGTCAGGTGTTCGACTGGGTTCAGATCAGGAGACATACTTGGCCAATGAATCACTTTCACTCTGTCCTTCTTCAGAAATGCAACAGTGGCCTTAGATGTGTGTTTTGGGTCATTGTCATGTTGGAAAAGTGCATGACAACCAAGGGCACGGAATGATGGTAGCATCTTCTCTTTCAATATAGAGCAGTATATCTGTGAATTCATGATACCATCAATTAAATGCAGCTCCCTGATACCAACAACACTCATGCAGCCCCACAGAAGGACACTGCCACCACCATGTTTCACTGTAGGCACTTTTATGTATGCATTTTTCTTTGTACTCCTCACCATTGCGACACCATACAGTTTTGAAGCCATCAGTTCCACAAACATTTATCTTGGTCTCATCACTCCAGAGTACAGAGTCTCAGAAGTCTTTTTCTTTTTCAGAATGGGCCCTGGGAAAATGTATGCAGGTTTTTTTGTGCATGGGCTTTAGGAGAGGCTTCCTTTGTGGGCGGCACCCATGCATACCATTCCTCTGAAGTGTACGCTGTATTGTGTCATGGGGAAACAATCAACCCAATTTGGCTATTTACTTTTTTAGCTAACCGCAGTGAACTTGCATGGTAACGTTCTTCAACCCTTCACATCAGAAGACGCTCCTCTTGAGGTGTTAACTTCCGTGGACAGCGGACATCTCTGTGAGATGGTTGCAGTTCCATCTGTTAAATTTTTGTATCACTTTTGCTACAGTATTCTGACTGATAAGTAAAGCTTTGCTGAACTTCTATAGTCTTCACCTTTCTTGTGTAAAGAAATTATTTTCTTTCTCAGGCCTTGTGACATTTCTCTTCCATGTGGTTCCATTGCTGACAGCATGAAATGGGGAGGAGTTTTCTTTGTTAACCAACACCCTTTTATAATAAACTGTCTGCTGGACACCTGTTTAATGAGTTCTTGTTAATTATGATTTTGTTATCTTAAGCTTACCTTTGCTCCTAAGACTTTCATTGGGCTGTATTCATTTTTGTAGCATGGTCTTGAATGCATTTGTTAGAAAAAATACATTTTTGTGTGTGCAAATTAACAAATCGTGTTTGCAATCAATGACACAAACAAACAGAAGGCACCGCCCATTGAAATGTATCAGTGCAAAAGAGTTGACTTCAAAATGTATAATCAAAATAATAGCAAACCAACTGCAACCATTTTTTCCAGAAATAATCCACCAGGAGCAGGTGAGGTCTGTGCATTGACAAGGAGCATGTGTGCTCAGATCATAATGGGTTGCTTGAACGCCAAGTCCTCCATTCAGTAATCATTTTGCATACGTTTAAAAAAATACAAGCCAGGAGGAGTGGAATGATTGTCACAATCTCTTTTCCTCTGACAAAAGACCACGCATTCATCTAAAAGAATGAAAGACGTTTACTGAATGGAGGAGCTGGAGTGCGAACGAAATACTGTGACCTAAGTACTCTAGTCTGAACTGCAAATCTCAGTGCCAGATGATTGTCATGGACTGCATTGTATGGATCAAAGTCAGAGTTGTACATTACGTTACAGCCTAGAGACATGGGACATATATCATAAGTGTTGATTTATTTTTACAGTGCACATGTCACAAAACAGTTCTTGCCCAGTGTTCAGCTTTAATCAATTTAACTGCACAAAAAGCCCTTGCAAATTTCATCTGGTCAACAGTATCATGCAGGGTGGCATTCTCAGCTGACAACCAAAGCTCCTGTCCTGACATTTACAGTTGTGTTCAAAATAATAGCAGTGTGTTGAAAAAAGTGAATAAAGCTCAAAATCCTTCTAATAGCTTTTATTTCCATACACACAAATGCATTGGGAACACTACACATTCTATTCCAAATCAAAACATGAAGAAAAATATATCAAATTTGTATTGTTCCTCTAAAAAAAAATTGAAGAAAAGTGAATATTAGACTGTTAAAAAAATAGCAGTGGTTGTATTCTTCTTTACAAACTCAAACATTCACCATATAAACTGAAAAATGTTTAAAGATTTTGCTTTCCTTTGAATCACTTAATATTTAGTTGTATAAGCACTGTTTCTGAGAACTGCTGTACATCTGTGTTGCATGGAGTCAACCAACTTCTGGCACCTGTGAACAGGTATTCCAGCCCAGGATGACTGGACTACATTCCACAGTTCTTCTCTATTCTTGGTTTTGCCTCAGAAACTGAATCTTTGATGTCACCCCACAAGTTTTCTATTGGATTAAGATCCGGGTATTGGGCTGGCCACTCCATAACGTCAATCTTGTTGGTCTGGAACCAAGATGTTGCACATTTTTTGGTGTGTTTGGGGTTGTCTTGTTGGAACACCCATTTCAAGGGCATTTCCTCTTCAGCATAACCTCTTCAAGTATTCTGATGTATTCAAACTGATCCATGATCCCTGGTATGCGATAAATAGGCCCAACACCGTAGTATGAGAAACATCCCCATATCATGATGCTTGCGCAACCATGCTTCACTGTCTTCACAGTCTACTGTGGCTTAAATTCAGTGTTTGGGGGTCGTCTGAAAAATGTCTCCGGCCACTAGACCCAAAAAGAACAATCTTACTTTCATCAGTCCACAAAATGTTGTGCCATTTCTCTTTAGGCCAGTCAATGTGCTCTTTGGCAAATTGTAACCTCTTCAGCACGTCTTTTTTTTCAACAGTGGGACTTTGCGGGGGCTTCTTGCAGATAGCTTGGCTTCACATAGGCGTCTTCTAATTGTAACAGTACTCACAGGTAACTTTACACCTTCTTTGATCTTCCTGGAGCTGATTGTTGGCTGAGTCCTTGCCATTTTGGCTATTCTTCTATCCATTCGAATGGTAGTTTTTCGCTTTCTTCCACGTCTTTCAGATTTTGGTTGCCATTTTACAGCATTTGTGGTCACTTTAGCTGAACAGCCTATCATTTTCTGCACTTCTTTACATGTTTTCCCCTCTCCAATCAACTTTTTAATCAAGGTACGCTGTTCTTCTGAACAATGTCTGGAACGACCCATTTTCCTCAGAATTTCAGAGAGAAATGCACTGTAACCAGCATGTACAACATTTGCTGCCTTCCTTCCTTAAATAAGGGCAATAATTGCCACCTGTTTTTCAAAGAATGAATGACCTCACGAATAGAACTCCACACTGCTATTATTTTGAACATGCTCCTTTCAATTAGTAATTCAATTACACAGAATCAGCAGCATGCGTGTCATGACTGTTGGGTCTGTTGGATTTCTATTACTCTACTACACCTGCTAGCAAATTATTTCCCATGTAGAAATATAATTTCTACCAAAAACAGTGATTGATCAGGTTAGTAATGTCTGACTGCTATTATTTTGAACACAACTGTATATACCCAAGAAAAATAAAGGATGGTGCACACACACAAACCATTAGAGTATCGGCTGAAGTATACAGATATACCAAAGCTGTTACATATTCAAATTAGATGTAAACTTCACTAAGAATAAAATAGTTTCATTTTTAAGTAAAAAACTGCATCATATGCTGACCTTCTTTGATTCACTGAGGACTCCACTAGAGAGTACTTCTAGTTCCACTTAGGAACTACAGCCAGCGCAAAGCCAGCTGAGGAAGTAATGCAGCATCACGAATTCTTCATTACCCAATTTTTTAACTTATGTTTAAAAATTTAGCAGTGAGAATGGGAACATTGCCTTGTAGAAGTATTTAGCAGAAAATTATCACCACAGAAAGTCCCAGACATGAAAAAATCTGAAGAGTGAGTCAACCTAGCAGTGACCATCAGAAACTAAAAACATTTTAGGATGCTTTGATCTGAAAATAAAAATGCAAGTACACACTCACAAGGTCTACAGTGTTTTTCTTGTTGGTCTCCGAGAGCGATCCAGAAACAAAACCATCCCATTGCTCCTGCTGTTCTTCTGAGAGCTCTGTAAAAGTACAAAATCCTTTAGTTATATTAAAGGAAAAAACACAAAAAAGTGAGATTAAGTGGCACCTCCCACCCACACCACGCTACAAAACAGAGTTTAGTGCAATCTGCGCTGCAGAGAGCTCCATCTCTACAAAGATGCAAGAAAATATACATTTATTCTGGCAGTGCTATGTGTTGCAATTTTAAACCAACTCACTGTACTGGACGTGACATACTCAGGATTGCCCCATTCTGTATACTATGCAATAAGCTACGTACAAGCACAACACTTTTCTGAATCCTGCTATGTAAAAAATTACATACTTCATCGCACTAATCACAAGTATTGTGACACAGTATTATTCATAGCACAAAATTTGATCTACCTGTAAATTCCGTATCGGAGTACAGTACAGGGCATGGATTTCATATTCGCAGACCATGAGTTATAGGCTGGAACCTTCAGGTGACTGGAAACCAGCAAAGCTTTTGCGGGCACACCCCCTGGGTATCCCCTATTATCCTACCCTACTCCTTGAGTCCTCAGCTTTTTTTTCTTCTTTTGTAAGCAATGCAAAGCAACCCAGGATTAATATAGATGGTGAACAGTTTCCTGTACTGTAGTCCAAGATAAGGAATTTATGGATAAGACAAAATTCCTTAAAATCTTAACTGCACAGCAGAGAACATAGGCTTGATATTCACAGACCCTGGGACGTTCCCAAGCAATGAATAAGAAAGGTGGGTAACAACTAGGGCAAGTAGAACTGTGCCAACATGTACAACAATAACAAGGATCAGCAATTAACAGATCCAACTTCACAGTGCTGCTGCAAGAGCCTTGCGCCAGAAAGCGTCCATCTGGTAAAACTTTGAAAAGGTATGAATAGAAGACCAAGTGACGAGATAAAGGTAGGATCTCCCTTCACCAGGCTCCTCCAGCGTTCCGACAGATGGCCTGCTAATAGCCGGGAAGAGGAAAGGGGGACCTGCCTGCTGACGCTGCTGGGACTGTGCGGGGAGCTCTGGTGACCGGTCCATCTCCCGTGGACCCTGGTGAGCTGGGTCCTGCGGTGGAGCGAAATGGAACCGAGGGGCGGGAGGAGCTGGACAGCCCTGGCCGGAGCCCATAGGATGATAGGCGGCCACGTGACCGGCCGCAAAGGAGTACTGGTAGGAGGGAGCTGCCGGTCAGTCTATGGGAGTATAATAAAAACAATAGAAATATGAGCGCTGGGTGACAGTAAGCCAGTTAGGTACAAAACAGGTAGGAGCAGCCAGCATAGAAGTGGAAACAACCTCAGATCCTCCAAGAAATGCCAGAAATAAAGGTACAAATGCGGCGCTCAATCATAGTTGCAGCATATGGAAAATATCTCACAGTGTTAAAACTTCATCAATATGATATATACAGATTAATGTGACTGTTGTGACACTATGAGCAGTTGTAAACCTTCCGTGACTGTGGTATTAAATGATATTGACAGCAACAACGCTTGTTAGGTATAGATCATGCGGAGTGAAGTGACTGTGGATATACAGTAAACAGAAAAGTAAAATACGTGACCGTTAAAGCTGGAAGCAATGAGCATACTATGCCCCGATTAGAAAATATCTTGTGGTAACGTAAACTTATAGGATATAGTTCATACGGAATGATGTGACTGTGGTGACACAAAGAACAGCCGATAACTTTCGTGACTGTTGTGGCTGGAAGCAATGAGCGTACTATGCACTAACCAGATAGCACAGATAAATGTGCGTTGGAGTAAATAAGACCTACTCCTCGGTACTCTGGGGGTGGGAACTCAGCATGCGGATGTGATCATCAGGCGGAGGTACTTCACCAGCTGTCATCTAACCAAAGCAGGTTTCCACATCTCAGGTTAACTGTGTCCAGCAGTACAATTTCCAGCCATCAGGGGGATCATACGAGGCAGATGGGAGCCAGGAAAAGATCCTTTCAGGATAAGGACTCTCAGTGCCAGATAAATGAGCCCAGAGAGAAAAGAACTCCAATAGTGTAGTATGTTTAATGATCAAAATAGGGGTAACTATACTGCTGGGTAATTGTACTGCTGGACACAGTTAACCTGAGATGTGGAAACCTGCTTTGGATAGATGACAGCTGGTGAAGTACCTCCGCCTGATGATCACATCCGCATGCTGAGTTCCCACCCCCAGAGTACCGAGGAGTAGGTCTTATTTACTCCAACGAACATTTATCTGTGCTATCTGGTTAGTGCATAGTACGCTCATTGCTTCCAGCCACAACAGTCACGAAAGTTATCGGCTGTTCTTCGTGTCACCACAGTCACATCATTCCATATGAACTATATCCTATAAGTTTACGTTACCACAAGATATTTTCTAATCGGGGCATAGTATGCTCATTGCTTCCAGCTTTAACGGTCACGTATTTTACTTTTCTGTTTACTGTATATCCACAGTCACTTCACTCCGCATGATCTATACCTAACAAGCGTTGTTGCTGTTAATATCATTTAATACCACAGTCACGGCAGTCACGGAAGGTTTATTACTGCTCATAGTGTCACAACAGTCACATTAATCTGTATATATCATATTGATGAAGTTTTAACACTGTGAGATATCTTCCATATGCTGCAACTATGATTGAGCGCCGCATTTGTACCAGTCTATGGGAGTATATGCAGCTCCGAAACTCCCCTCTCTCCCTCACCCCTAGATTGATCTCTCTCTGGGAGTGCTGTGGTGGAGAGAGACCCCTGGATCCCTGGAACCCAAGGGAGACATAAAGGAAGAACCCCACCCTGGAAAATATATGGAGTTGGAGAGACCACCTCGTGCAAACACCCCCCCCCCCCCCCCCCCCCCCCCCCAAAGGGTCGTTTTTTTTTTTTTTGATACTGGAAATTATTAAAATGAAGATCAAAGGAACAAAAAGGAGGTGGGTCAAAGGCCCCGCCATCAAGCTCAATTAAGAAATATATCCCCGGACAGGATAAACAGACCCCTGAGAAGCAAATTGGAATAAGTGAAAAGAGTGTGATAGGGAACAATAGTGGTGAGAGCTCCAGATTATCCCTGGGAATGTCTAATAGTAGTCAAAATCTAGAAGAAGCAGATATTCAGAAAACCGGTGTATTGGAGAATTCAGAAGATCAAGGTTCACACCAACAACTAAATCAGAAGTAGCAGAAATGTTTAAAGGTCTGGAAAATTTTATAAAACAAGAGATGCTGAAATTACATAAAGATTTGGGGCAGGTGCTATCTAGAGTGGAGGAGATGGAAGAAAAAATAAACATGCCCAAATGATACAGATCTTAGAAAAGCAAATGGTGGAAATGAAAAAAGAACAAAGAAATCTGCTATATAAACTAGAGGAGCAGGAAAATAGGAACAGAAGATGTAACTTAAGAATACGTGGTCTTCCAGAGATCTCTCAAGGAGAAGATCTGAGGGAAATAATAGAGAAGATGCTAGATATAATATAATTGGACAGATCTGTACCAGAACTCTATAAAATGGATGGGGTGTATAGAATAGGTTGACTATATCAAGAGGGTAGAAAAGGAAAATCGAGAGACGTCATCGTTCAATTCCATCATTATCATGATAAAGAGATCTGGAAGAGGATGAAAGGAAGAGCTGCTATAAAATATGGAGAAATATATATACAGATCTTTGCTGATCTTGCTGCAGAGACACTGTTAAGAAAGAAAATCCTGAAACCATTAGTAGAACAAATGAAAAAGCAGAACGTCCGATATAGCTTGGGGTTCCCAGCATGTTTAATCGGTTGAAAAAATGGGCGCTCTGCAAGATTAAAGTTCCCTGAAGAATTGAGAGGCTTCTGTGAAAGACTTGAGTTACAGGATATAGATATCCCTGGGTGGGGAATGGGGATGGAGGAAAGGTGGAATATGGAGAACGAGAGGTGGCGGGCAGTCTAGAAAGGAGGTAGAGGAGGGAGTGGGGAAGGAGAATGGGGTGAGAATATTCTTTTTTTTCCCCTCTCCCTCGTTCAAATTCTCCTCCCCCTTTACCCCCTTCCCCTTTTCTCTTACCCCCTTTTTTTTTTATCTCTCTCTCTCCTTCCTTCAAATTCTCCTCCCCCTCTACCCCCCCTTTCTTTTTCTTTCTTCTGAGGTTTTTTTTATTTTTCTCTTCTCTTCGTTTTAGGCTCGTAGTTTTTGGCGGGACGCTGGGGGAGGGCAAATAGGATGAGGTGTGCATGCTCAGAGAGCCACCCTAAATTGGAATCAAAGGTGGAATTGGCACCACAAATGATTCATAGGCAAAACATAGGCCTAAGAAGGGGGGGGGGGGGGTGGGATGGGAGGGTGGGTGTGGGGTTATGGGGAGGTAGTAGGCAGCCTAAGACTCTGCGGCAGCCTTAGATTGTGGGGGATGGTTGGAGGTACACTAGCTTGGAGAAACTTTAGAGAACGAAGTGGAAGATATGATGGAGAGAGGGAGAGAGAGGAGGAGGATGAAGAGGGATGAGAGGAGGTGAAAAAAGAGAAAAAACAGAAGATTCACTTCGTGACTTATAATGTGAGAGGTTTAAATAGTTAAATTAGATTTAGGATTCTTAAAGAACTTCAACATAGATTTTCCTCAATGGTGTTTCTACAAGAAACTCATTTTGGTACAAGAAACAAATTAGTTAAAATCTAGACATTATCCAGAGTGGTATTATGCAGATTCCCCAGTTAAACGAGCAAAGTGAGTGGATAGGATTTGCGAAAAACATAAGGTTTAAGTTGGAAGAGAGATTGGTAGATCCAGAAGGGAGATTCCTGTTTTTGAAAGGAAAATTACAGGAAAAAGAATGTACATTAGCAAATATACATTGCCCGAATAAGAAACCGGAGGTATTCCCAAAAAATATCTTAAGGAAATTAATGGATTTCAAAAAAGGTAATTTGATTGTGGCAGGAGACTTAAATCTATGTATGGATCCACAGATGGATGTGACCTCTCCGGTGCATAGAGATGGTAGTAGGTTTTTGAAAAATCTGAAAAA